ATGACAAGTCCCGATACACATGGCTTAGGTTGCTTAAGTCAAAGGATGAGGCCTTCAAAGTTTTCAAGCAATGGAAAGCTTTGGTGGAAAATCGACAAGGAAGGAAGATCAAGAAGCTACGAACGGACAATGGGCTAGAGTTTTGCAAAGACGAGTTTAATCAGTTCTGTGCAGATGAGGGTATAGGTCGGCATCATACTGTCAGGAAGACACCACAGCAGAACGGTGTAGCAGAACGGGTTAATCAGACACTGCTAGAGAGAGTTCGATGCATGCTCTCTAATGCAGGGCTTGGGAGGAGGTACTGGAGTGAAGCTGTGTTAACAGCTTGTTATGTCATTAATAGGGGTCCTCATTCTGGAATTGATTCCAAGATTCCGTTTGAGATCTGGAGTGGTAAGTTGCCTAATTTTTCGAATTTGAAGATTTTTGGTTGTGTTGCTTATTATCATGTTATTGAGGGTAAGCTGGATCCACGAGCCAAGAAGGGGTGTTTTGTTGGGTACGGGGATGGTGTGAAGGGGTTTAGAATTTTTTCACCTTCGGAGGGTCGGGTCATTCTTAGTAGGGATGTTACTTTCGATGAAAACACCATGTATTCAATTAAAAATGCAGAGATTTCAGATTTGAGAAGGGAAGGAGACAATTTATTACAGACAGATGGGGTACTTGAGGTACATCAGTCTACCATTGCTGATTTACCTCGGGAACAATATATTGATGATGATGCTGATGTTCCAGTGCCGGGTACTCCTGAACCTGAGATTACTCCTACTCATTCTAACTCTGGGGATGAGGTGGAGCAATCTAATCAGGGGTCATCTAGTCAACCTGACACCATTCTTGAGATGCCTAAACGAGTTATCAAGAAGCCTGTTAGATTGATTGAAGAGATGGAGGGAAGAAATTGCTGTGTTGATGCGATGACAGGTTATGCATTGAGTGTAGCTGATGATGTAGAGTCATTTGAACCTGCCACATATAAACAAGCAATTAGTTTTAGTGAGTCTGCGCAATGGCTTGCCGCAATGGGTGAAGAGATGCAGTCTCTTTACAAGAACAGAGTGTGGGAACTGGTAAAGGTACCGGAAGGGAGGAAGCTTGTGGGTTGTAAATGGATTTACAAGAAGAAAGAAGGGTTGTCGGAAACTGAGCAAATACGTTTTAAGGCTAGGCTAGTTGCTAAGGGGTTCAGTCAGGTAGAAGGGGTTGATTTTGTTGAGATATTCTCACCTGTGGTTCGACATACTTCTATCCGTGTGTTATTGTCAATTGTAGCACATTTTGATCTTGAGCTGGAGCAGTTGGATGTTAAAACGGCTTTCCTTCATGGCGATTTGGAGGAGGAGATTCTGATGAAGCAGCCCGAAGGATTCGAAGTTCCTGGAAAGGAACACTATGCCTGCAGATTGCTAAAGTCATTGTATGGACTTAAGCAATCCCCCCGACAGTGGTACAAAAGGTTTGATTCTTTTATGGTTTCACAAGGTTTTGACAGGAATTCATATGATTGCTGTGTGTATCATAGTAAGCTGGATAATGGTTCCATGATTTATCTTTTGTTATATGTTGATGACATGTTGGTTGCCACAAAGAATAAATCTGATATTGCTAGATTAAAGGAGATGCTTAACTCGGAGTTTGACATGAAAGACTTGGGTGCAGCTAGGAAGATTTTGGGTATGGAGATCTACAGGGATCGGGCTAGAGGTAAGCTTTTCTTGACTCAGAAAAGCTACATTGAAAAGATTTTGTCTCGTTTTGGGATGGAAAAATCGAAGCCTATAAGTACGCCAACTACTGTTAGTTGTAAGTTGTCTTTGTCTATGTCACCTCAATCAGAGGAGGAGTTGTCTTATATGTCTAGAGTTCCATATGCAAATGCGGTTGGTTGTTTGATGTATGCTATGGTCTGTACTAGGCCGGATATTGCGCATGCTGTTAGTGTTGTAAGCAGGTTTATGGCTCGACCTGGGAGGGAACACTGGCAAGGGGTGAAAAGGATTTTTCGCTACCTGAGAGGGACAACTGATATTGGTCTTGTGTACGGGAATGGTAGGGAATGCTTGGTCACTGGGTACAGTGATTCTGATTATGCAGCTGATGTGGATACCAGGAGGTCTGTGACTGGTTATGTGTTCACTTTGGGTGGTTCTGTGGTTAGTTGGAAGTCTACATTGCAGTCATCAGTTACGTTGTCAACTACTGAAGCTGAGTATATGGCTTTAACTTCTGCAGCTAAGGAGTCTATTTGGCTCAAAGGCCTAGTAGGTGAACTGGGTATTGCACAGGATTGTGCTACAGTGTATTGTGATAGTCTAAGTGCGATTTGCTTAGCTAAAGATCAAGTACACCATGATCGGACGAAGCACATTGATGTCAGGTATCATTTCTTGCGTACTGACAAGAGGATTAAGGTGAAGAAGATTGGGACTGCTGACAACCCGGCTGATTTCTTCACTAAGCCTGTTCCGTTTAGCAAGTTTAAACATTGCTTAGACTTGCTAAATATTGATTACTACGTGATGTAGTAGGCCCTGAGGGGCGAAGTTGGGGAGCTCCTGGTGTAGGTGTGTTGGCCTTAAGGTGGAGCTTGCCCGGGGCTTGTGATGCAGGTGGAGCATTATGAGTTGTTATACTTGGAGACGAGTATGTGATGGGTCTTGGTTGAAGACTTATCGGGATGTATGGCTTATGCATGAGTCTTGCATCGGGTTTGGCTTGAGATGTTTTTCCACTATGTCTTGATGGGGTCGTTTGCTGACTACGAGTTCTCGTCAAGGTGGAGATTGTTGATAAGTATTAGGTGACTCGTACTTCGTAGCTTTGTCCGCCCGATCGGGCGGACATTGCCCGGTCTGACCGGGCGGTGGGGGTTGGATACGTTGAAGCATTCGTATGGAGTTTTCTTCTCGCGCCCGATCGGGCAGACCTTGCCCGGTCTGACCGGGCGGAGAAGGAAAAATGCGGAGACGCGGATTTTACGATTTAAAGTTATCTTTTATGTTATCTTTTTGCCCAAGTATCTTTTATTTTAGGGATTAATATAAAACCTCCCTAATATTAGTATAAGGGTTAAGGGAGAGAGTGTGAGAGCCGTTCTTGAGAAATACAAGAATCATCTTTGTAATCTTTGCAGTTTATAGTGAAATCATTCGATCTCGGTGCCCGTGGACGTAGCTATCACATCGATAGTGAACCACGTAAATTCTTGGTGTTGTTCTTATTGTTTGCATTGAATTTCTTTATTGTTTTCTTGTTTGTTTTCGACCTTTGCTTCCGCTGTCGCACAACAGCATGCCCTAAAAATTTCACCTTCTTAAGACAAAACTCACACCTTCTCAGTTGGTTAGGGCTTCTCTCATTCATGTTCTTTCTTTTCTTCGAATAAATCAAGATGTCATTTGTAAATATTGTTCCAGATATGGTTTAAATTACCTTTGCATTAAACCATGAAGGTTGTTGGAGCATTAATAAGTCAAGCTAAAAGGTATAATTGTGCACTTGTGATGTTCGTACCTTGTTCATCAACACGTAGTCTTAGGTATATCTTGCAACACCCCAAATTCCTCTCTACACAAATACTAGAATAATACGCATAATACACTATAGAGAGAAAATTGGGTGTATTATCGTTGATCATGTAAGGACTACTTAAGAACTACAAAACTTAGCAGCAGAAAAGAAACTAACTAAATTGAAAATCAAAACCAAACTAAACCAATGTTATTTGAGCACTCAAACATAACTTGATAATGAAACTTTTTTTTAAAAAAAATCTAGGCTATGTGATCAATATTGAGTTCTCGATGTGCATACTCCACACATGAAATCACGACTGCTTACCAAAAATTAAAAATAGGACAAACTAAAACAAAATAGAAAGTACGAGTTAGCAAAATATGTCAAGTACATTTAAGTGCAAAACATGTAACATCTTTTATTAAATTAAACATACGTTAGAGTTATTCAAGCGGACAAACCATGATTAAAATATACTTTTATAAATTAACTTTTATAAACCAGTTCTATTGGTTCCCCTTTATTTTGAGAAAAAAAATTTATAAATTAACGAACTTCTCCCGTACTCAATTCAACCCCTTATTGAGTATCAGTTGCACTTTCAACACGACTAAAATCGGCACGACTTGAACACATACGATGTTACTGTTAGAAAACACGAAAACGACACAACATGACCCATTTTGCTAAAGTAGTCAAATTATGCAATTATCCCACATTTACTTGATTTTTGATAGATTTTGTGAACAACATGAAATTGACACGAGACCAAACACGAACACGACACAACTTTTTGCCGACTCAACTTATATTATAGTTATAGATAGATAAATTAATCCTGAATCATGTAGAGAAAAAAAAAAGATGAACAAAACAAGACATAACTTATCAAACACGAGATTTAGATATATAACAAATTGTTTTCAATCTCAATTTCAATCTCTATTTTCGTGGAGTTCGACAGTTTTTGCTCATTTGAATATTTTGAAATGAGCAAAAAGAATACTCTCTCCGTCCCACAATGCATGACACAGTTCCCATTTTCGTACGTCCTAAAATACTTGACACGTTACTAAATATGGAATAGATTCACTAATAAAAAACATTTTCCTATACTCTCCTTGGGACCACAAACCACAAAACCTAATTAAATCCTATATTTTCTCTCCTCACTACCCCTACCTATCCCACTTTTTGTTTTCTTACAATATAAAAATACAAAAGAAAACCCTTTATATAATAAACAAATGTTTTAAACAGACCTACTTGTAGTTTTCTTAAGCTACATGTCCACCCCAACACCCTAAGTATTATGGGACGGAGGGAGTGCCAAATAAGCAATAAATTACTTCAAGGATGTTTCGTTTGCATAAAGAAAATTCACTATTTCTAAACTCTCAATCCCTTATACTAAACGCTTCATTAGCTAAACTCTAACAAATATTACATCCAAAAGAAAAGGAAAAAAAAAAAAAAAATCCCAACAAATTAGCAACTACTGCTTTTATTGGTGTTAGACAGCCTGCTTGAACAGGACAATACAGTTCATCATGACAGTTGCTCTTCATGTCCCTCACCAAAGTAATTGATTACAAGCTGGGTATCAAAATTGACGAAATAACAACAAAATGTATACCAAGTCATAATTCAAAACAATATTTTCCAATCTTCACAAAAGAAATCTACTTATTATCAGATTAATGTATGGTGATCAGATTATGCAAAACCGAGGGGCGCTGTTTTTGTCACTCCCCCCTTCAGATCACCAAAAATGAATGGAGGAAAAGAATCTTGTCTTATCTGTCTTTTAACAGTGCTGCCAGAAATTCGCCAGAACTAAATCGCACGGAGTCCTGATAATTCCCGGAGTTTCTCACAAAGTACAAATGTGATTGTTGTCTGTGGACCCAACCGTGCAAAAATTGTGAAGCCTCTGGTATAGAAAAGAAACAAATAATTTCATTCAGCCAGCTGCTATCATAACTCAGACAACTACATTTATAACTGTAGAGTACGAGATAAAATGGACAGGACAAGTATTGGTAGAGATATAGATGTGGAATCTCACCCTTTGTAAAGTGCAAGAGAACCCTCAGTGCGCATGACCTGCAACAAGTGAAATGATATGACGAAACTGAATACTATATAAGATAAATTTACCAGTTCAATGCTGATAACGTAACAATTCTGTACAAAATTATGTAGAAATGCAAGTCATTAAGTTATGACCGCAAGAGATAAAAATAAGCCTTCTTTGAAATACTTCATCTGTCTCAAATTTAACTTCACATTTGCAGATGGCAGCATGCAAGGTGATTAAAGAAAGCTTGTAAAATGTAAATTAAGAAAAATAAAAGTGAATACAAATTGTAGCAAGAGAAAGCGTTGGAATGTGACTATAATTAAAATAAAGAGAACTTTTAGGCACCCTACAATAATAATGGAATGGCGGGAGCACTACTAATTTACAGATTGTGACAGCTGATAGCAATGAGATGCAAAAAAATTAACACTACCTCTTTCTCACAATGAGCATCCTAGTCAGAAGTACAAGAATAAAACTCATGTTATCAAAAGCAAATAGTGCCAAGATGAGAAGACAGGGACCAATTTAAGTGTAGGACCAATAACTATGAATGACACCTAAACCTAAAAAATAAGCAAGTCATTTTTGCATGGGTGATAAGTTCGCTAGGAAGTAAGAAAATAGCATTCAACTCCCTGTTAATGCATGAAACAACAGAATTCAAGCTTCAAATATATCTTGGATTCTTGGTTAAGATTCACATACAAGTTTCAGTCTTATACACTTATATTAAGGCAGAATGTTCAGGCCTTAATGGTAATTTTGATTTAAGCAGTCACTGAAATCAATAGGAATATAAATCATATGAGCAAGTGGGAAATATAGGATGAAGACTATGTCAGTACCTGGTAGGCACAGTGTAGTCCATTCTTATAATTCCTGCCACTTGATTCATTCTGTGACATAAGACGGGTTTTGATCATATCCATGGGTGCCGTGACCAGAGTGCTTGCAACCCCAGATATAGTACTTGACCTATTGTAAATAAAAAAAGAGTCAGTCCCAGGAAACCTGTAGAGTCTAGACAACTCACAAACTCTAACAAAAAAGCTACTCTCTTGGTCCCACTATTTTAATCCTTTACGATATTAAACCCTTGTTTATAATTTATTTGAAGGGGGCATGACATCTAATGCATTTTCACAACACTCTTATGTCTGAAATTTAGTTTCCAAATGGAGGTGAAATGAACTAATTGATGTCAAAGATTCACATTAATGAGGTGTAGCTAACCTGTAAGCTACATCGTATTGATCTTCATGGTCCTGCGTTTAGTTCATTAGTTGTATTAAAAATACTAAACAGGAGTTTAAGCACAAACTATGCTCTGCATTTCATTAATTGTAACTTTGTAAGCAAGAGAAATAAGTTATATGTGCATATCATGAATAATGCAGAATATTAGCCACATGCTGAAGTCATAACTCAAAAACCAAGAGGACTACTTCCAGATATATCATTCATGACATTTTGGGCTTTAAAAAGGGACAAACAATAACAGCTGAAAAGAATGCACCCAGGTAAGTGAATAAAGCCAGAAATACTGTTGCATACATGAGGTGCAAAGAAAATCCTTCTTCAACAGAGGTCCATCTTGTCAAAGCCTGCAATGCAAGAACATAGTAATTCAATGACTTCAGATATCATAAAGCAAGAATATTTGGAGCAGAACAACAATCATCAGATGTTTTATAATATTGATGTCTACTTATGATAATCTAAAAGGTTTAAACAGTTGAGAAAATAGCATGCTAACTCGTTTAGATTCATCATATGTTGCTAGCTGTGATGCAGTCAAGGGAGCAGCTCTTGCCATAGCAGGACCAACACCCTTCCACAGAGCACATATACCCTCTTCTGAAGCAATTTTGCGCATTAGGCTTATAGCACCTACTTTCGCCCCTGAGTTCATTTGCAAGCGAACCTGATTCAAAGAGTTGCTTCATTAAGGCATTTATGCACAGAGAGAGACAGAGAGAGAGAAAGTACAATATGAGCACCTTCAGAACTTCAGTAGGATTAGTCATCGCAGTTGCAAAAGAACCAGCAAAGCCTCCAGCAACTATTTTTACAAACAAATTTGTTGATTCAAATGCCACTTCACACACATACTTTGAAGGTTCATACAGACCTAGACGTAATCCCCCGTATAGAACTGACCTTGTCAATGCAGGTGTCAATCCAAGGTACAATGCACTAAATCCTTCTTTGTTCAATATCTGGGTGAAGATGTGTCCCTGCAGAGGTTGAAAATGGCTAGAAAATTCAACTGGTCTTCAATGTCACAAAATTAAAGGTTAGGAGGTACATAAACCTTCAGAAACCTAGATGTTTACCAATCCAGTTAAAGGTCCTCGCTGACCAACAAGTTGCATTTGAAGCCTTACTTTGAGAACGTCTGAAAGAATTGAATCAATGTATTCAGACTTCAGAGTGCTGGCAGATTGAATCTTGGTCTCACGTTTCCATATTGTATACGAACAGACTGAATGGTCACATAATTATTTCAAAGTACAAATAAAACCCCATTCCAATGATAACCCAGCCCATCAATCAGAGCAATTAAGAGCTATTATAAGTCCTTAAAACAAGATAAACAACCATTTCCCCTGACTGAACCCAGCGACTCTCGAGTGGTTGAAAAGGGCGAGACTGATATTGCAACAAGACCGAGAGATTCTTTTTTTGAGAACGTGGAATCTGTGCTTTAGCAGTGGGCTTTTGGGCAGCTAGCTTTCTTAGCTAAGCAAGCCCGGTTCTCCGGGCACCATGGTAGGACGTGGATCGATCATGACGAGAATGGACTTTTCCGTTTGGTCCTAATGTTGCTGCTTACCACTCCCAAATCCATCCATGTGGATAATCCTTTAGCCAATACAAAAATGACAACTTGCTTACAGAATAACAGTACCCCTCCTGAGAAATTTCATAGGGGAATAAATTGAATAATATCCAAGACTAAGAATTGAGTAAATTTACTACTATTTCCGTTCCTTAAAGTTATTCCAATCTAAAAACTTTATAGATTCTAACACAAATGAAATATTGGACTCTCTCGATATATATATGGGAAAAAAAATACTCTTATGAAATTTTGTTTGATTTGTCTAGATATGTAATATCACACTTTTAAAGATTTTAATGATATTGATACCCAAAACATTTATCGGAAAAAATAGGTAAACGGGAACGTCTTTTAGATTGGAGGTAGTAATTTGCTATACACTACAGAGGCTATTTCCCTTTCGGACTGTCCAATGTGGCCACCAGACACTTCCAATTATCTCTCACACAATTAATTCAAAATACAACATCAAAGAGTTTGAAATCTTCATCATTTTCTGTACGCGTGAAGGATTTTTATACAACTCAATATGAATTTAAGGATATTAAACAGTATATTTCAATAGAACAATGCTCTGTAAGCGTTAGTTGGACAGGCAACAGGCACGTATTTTACATTGCAAGATAGTTACATTTCATTGGAATCAACTTTAAAGCATTGGATATGAAACATATTCACTTATATTCCTTTTAGCAATCCAAAGTTTCCTATGTATTTTGGAGGCACAAAGGGGCCGGGAAAGGTCTTGTGGAACTCAGCATCATTATATTGGTTTGATATAGAATATTTAAATGAAAAAGACAGTTTACCAAGATTATATTTACAATCAAACTAAACAATAAGGTAGTTAATTATTCTATCTTCACTCTGTACGTATGCTTTAAGAACTATTCCTAGAATATTTCTCTCTCTCTACATTGATTTTCTTTTTTGCTAATATACCATATAATTCTTATCATCAGCTATGCATATAACCAATCAACTAACACATGTCAACAATTAACATCTTAATCATGTTAAATCCTCTTCTTAGGGATGTACAGGGTTACCTAATGCATATAACCAATCAACTAACACATGTCAACAATTAACATCTTAATCATGTTAAATCCTCTTCTTAGGGATGTACAGGGTTACCTAATACTCCCCCTCCCCCCTCCCCTCGAATTCCATATTAATACTTTCGTTCTAATACTCAATACTTTTGCATATTAATACTCCCAAATTAGCGTATTCACCCTACTGTAGTATCCCAATCCAACAAGAGAGGATTTAACAAGGAGGGGTGGTGGAGAGTAAAAATAGATCAACTAGAGTGGGTTTGTTTATTTGTCTCCATTACTCTAACCAAACACCATAGAGACTTTGGAGAAGGTTATTTTTTTTTATTTCTTGTTTCACTATGTTTCTTTTGCAGGGTTACCCAATACTCCCCCCCTCCCCCTTCTCCATGAACTCCTGATGTAAGTCTTTCATACCAATTCTCCCTACATTTTATATTAAAAAAAAATAAAAACCTTTTTATTTATGAGGGTGTGTTGTTCATATCGTATAATGATCCCAAATAAAAAAGACGTATTATAAAAACCACAAACTTTTTACTATACTCCCCACCTAGGGCATTGCGAATTTAGCACTCGTTCCGCGTATTGGAGCAATCTACGTATTAGGTAAGCCAACTCTTGTAATCAATCTAGCTCAAGCCTTCAATTTACCAACACCTAAACCACAAGTTTGTTATTCAAAGACAGCTATGAACTGAACCCCGTAAACATTACACGATACAATATTCCTTTCGTCCCACTAAGATGGCACTATATCCCTTATTTCACTTATCTAAGAGCTAAGTCAAAGCATGTGGGAGGTTTTTATTTTTTATTTTTTGGGTGTGAAGCACTTTAATTGTTGAGTAGGGAAAATATACCACTAAGGGAATAGGGAAAACTCAATGAGACATCCCAAATAGGAATATGGGGCAATATTAGTAGGATGGAAGGTTTAGCTCAGAGGACCATACATCCATACATCCACTGTAGTTACCCACTACATAACAATTCAAAACCATGTCTTACCCCCAAACATGAACATCATATGTAGGCATGTCAAAGTGACATCAAGCAAATACGAAGTAGTATATTTGAAAACCATAAGCAAAGTGCATCTCCATTGGCCATAAATATAGGATATTCCTATCATCGCCATAAGCTTATAAACAAAACCTATTCAAAACACCTCTATTTTCTTAGTTGCAACACTTTGATTTGCCAACGCACAACATTAAACATATACTATGTTACACGGACTCGGGAACGGGTATCGGACACGGACAATCCGGCAAGTTCCAAAATTTTAGGACACGGGTGCTCTATTCGATATTTGGACACGGGTACGGGGACACGTCAATACGTCACTTAAATTTATATAAATAAATTATATATTACTGTTTTAAATTTTTCATTATGTCCACCCCTATTTTTATTTATTCCTTCCACAGTAAATTCTCCTATAAATGACAGTCTTCTTCTCTCCATCTTCTCTACATCAATGGTGGTCTTCAAACAAGATATGTTTTTCTTTCATGTTACTCCTCTTTTTCCTCTTAAAAAACTATTAATGGAAGTGTCCGAGTGCACAGTGAAATGTCGGACACGTGTCCCGTGTCCGTGTCATGTCGTGTCGACACGGACACTTCACGATTTTAGCCGTGTCCGATTAACATAGACCATATATCTTTTATTTTCTATTAAGAAAAACTGTGGAGTAAAAAAAATTGATGATATAAAAACATAATCTAACAACACTTTACAAATTAACATTTTATTCTCAATATAATTTTTTTTTTTTGAATGGTCAAAATTAGTACTAAATAGTGCAGAAATTCAAAGTGGTTCAATCTAAAAGCATTTGTTATCCATAAAAATCGATTCCATATCGTAAATTATCAATGAGGATACACAACAATGCATTTTAAACCTCCTAAACAGTAAACACTACTAATGAGAATCCCATCACCAAAATTAAAATTCAGTGTATAAATTAATGAAAAAAGAAGAGAGATTCGAAACCTAAAGGATGAGTAACAGCTGTAGCAGTGGCAACAGAAAGCCCACTTGTACCAAAGTGATAAACAATGGTAGATAATGGCGGCAAACCCCATTTGTGGTTCTTCTTATTATCAACGTCCATTACAGAACCTGCAATTATGTTGCATTTAATTCAAGATTAAATTCCCAATTTTTAAAACACATATCTCCAAAAAAAAAGTCAAAAAAAAAAAAATTATAATTTTAAGATATATTTATTTTTTTTACAAGAAATTCCAAGATGGGCGTTTAAAATGAGTAGATGATGCAAATGTGAAAGGGAAAAGAAAAAATACCTGAGGAGGAGTTAGAAATGGACATTGTTAAAAATTTTGGTCATCGATTGAGAATCTGTACAAGAATGAACAATGGAGGTGCAATCACGGTACTATAAGTCGGAGAATAAATCAGAAATAATCGGTAGTGGAAAAATATGACTTGCGTACTTGCTAGTTGCGGTTCCCTTCTCTCTCTTTTCAATGTATCAGATCAGTATAACTCCTTTTTCCGTCTCAAAATAATTGGAACATTGGACTTTTTTTTTTAAGTGTATTCATGCTAATGTATAGGATAATATACAGGATATACATACTATGTATTAGAAAGAAGAAAATAGTAGCAGAATATTTTTTTGGAGAAAGAAAGTTATTAGAAGTTATTGCCAAAAACAACAACAAAAAAAAAAAAAAATAAGTTGCACAAAATTGCAAGATTGGAGTTTTGGAGGAATTTGGTGATAAGTTAGAGTAAAAGCTCTTAAATTATATAAAATGATTTTTTTTGCTATAAAGTATTATTATAACTAAATGCTAATTAAAAAAATGACTTTGTTATATCGGTCATTTTTTTAAATTCAACACTTACGATTATAATAGAAATCCTTTATATTTTTTTTTATTACTCTTTGAGCTTTGAATATTTGAGATTAACTTTTATAATAACTTTGACCAATTTGGACCATCTTTTTTGTTATTGTATAAAATAAATGTACTATCTCCATTCCTTTTCTACGATTACATTTCCATTTCAACGTTCCCTTCCATTAATTACATTTCTACTTTTAGTAATATATACTAGATAGCTTGGAGAGAGAAATACGTAAGACGTTCTTGGATTTACCTTGATGTATATTATTGATATATCAAATTACAATATTTACCACCCCCCACCCCTTTTTTTTTGGGTTACGTATTCCTTTTCTTATCATATTTACCCTTGATTTAATGTACTCTCAAATCAAATTTCCCATTTTTATCCCAAAATTTTCCATCAATACGACAATACCTCCTACTTGCAATATTTTATTCATTGAATTTTCCCGTTTGTTGCCTTGAAGGCTCATTTTTCACAAGGCTGTGTATTAGTACAGAGCCTTTTTGGTGCAGTTGCCCATACCGTGTGGGTGTGGCCTGCTGCCAACTCAGCAAAAATAACAGAGTCGGACGCGCATAATGGAGTCTGACATTCACGTGCAATTTCAAGTAACTCCTAATTTCAAGTAACTCTTGAATTCAAGTAACCCATTTTATAACATACTCAAAACAGAAGACAAAAACAGGTAACCCATAAGTAACCCCTAAATTCAACTAACCCCAACTCCAAACCAACCCAGAAACCCAACAAAATGACAAAGAACTGCGATTCATCATCATCTTCTTCAATGGATCTCCTTCGAAGCTACTCCAATGGCGCCGAAGAATACGACGACGACGACGAACAACCCCAACCCCAACAAATCAACCCAGAAAACCAACAAAATGACAAAGAAATGCGACGATTTGATCTCCAAACTCGAAATTAGGGTTAGGGTTTGGAATTGAGAAGGAGGATTTGGAGAGAGAAGGAGTTGTAGAGGAGAAGAAAAAGACCATAAAGAAGAAAGTGAGGAGTGAGAGAATGATGATGATGATTGGAGAAGATATTGGAGATGATGATGAGAAGAAGAAGAGTGGAGATGTTTGGTGCCATTATTGGAAGGTAGGAGAGGGAAAAGCAAGAGAAAGGGGAATACAGTGAGGAGTGAGAAGTGGAAAAACAAAAAAAAAATTGGCAGGCCAAACGTAGTACATATAAAAATTTGCCTTATTAGTATTATTACTCTTCACATTATACGTTAATACATACTACATAGTACTTTCTCTCTGCAAATCAGATTTCTTACTCTCTCCTTTTTTTTTTAAGTTTACAGTTTGCTCTTTAGATTAGGCAATTTAATTAACTTAAATACAATAAGAGATAAATAGAGTAGTTGAAATACAAAAAATTGTAAGAAAAATAAAATAATGAGGTTAATAATTTATTGAAAAGTAATGAATGTGAGAGACCGTGAGAGGAGAATGATATAATATTAAAATATTTGGATAGTAATTAGGAAATTCATGAAAATATGGCCGTAATTTGAGAATTGAATCTTTTGGCAACATTATTTTGGAAAAGGACTCCTTACTTTGCCTTTTTTTTTAAAAATACTCTGTAAAAGATTTTTTGTTAAAAAAGTCATTTCTAACATTTTTTTTAATGTATTTGTGATATTCATCTTTTATTATTATTAAAAAAAAAAAAAAAAAAAAAAAAAAAAAAAAAAAAAAACTCATGCTGACTTGTTTATACATATAGGTCAAAAAGGCCCTCGACACTAACCCAATTATTTCATCACCCATTGTGTCATTTTAATTTAACCCATAAAAATAAAGGCATATGCCAAAAAAAAAAACACATAGTACTTGTACCATTATTTCTGCAAATCAGAGTGCTTTTATACCAGGACGTCTCATTAAAGATAATGCCACCATTGCTTTTGAGATCTTTCATGCTATGAAGAGAGGAGGAGAGGGGAGAACAGGGACAATGGCTCTGAAGCTGGATATGAGTAAAGCATATGATAGGGTAGAGTGGATTTTTCTTGAGAGAGTCATGAGGAAAATGGGTTTTTCTAACGGGTGGTGTAGGAGGGTGATGGATTGTATCTCAAAGGTGTCTTTTTCTTTCAAGTTGAACAACGAAATTTACGGCTTAGTCACACCTTCCAGGGGACTTAGACAAGGTGATCCGATATCCCCTTACCTGTTTTTACTGTGCGCTGATGTTTTTTCATGCTTATTATCTAAGGCTGCTAGAGATAAAGGTATACATGGGGCGAAAATTTGCAGGGCTGCTCCCAGAATTTCTCATCTGTTCTTTGCAGATGATAGCTTGCTGTTTACTAGAGCTACTGTTTAGGAATGCTCCAAAATTGCTGATATTATTAGGAAATATGAACGAGCTTCGGGCCAAAATGTCAACCTAGACAAAACTGTAGTAAACAGGTTCCTGAGGATAGGAGAGCTGTTATTGTTGACATGCTGGGTGTCAGGGAAATAGATAAGCATGAGAAATATTTGGGTTTACCTACAATTATCGGGAAATCAAAGAAGACTATTTTTGGGGGAGTTTGTGATAGAATTCGGAAGAAACTCAGTTGCTGGAAGGATAAACTTCTCTCAAAACCTGGTAAAGAAGTGCTTCTGAAGGCGGTCATTCAGGCAATCCCTACATATATAATGAGCCTCTTCCGGATTCCAGACTACATTATAGAGGAAATTCATAAACTGATGAGCAGGTTCTGGTGGGGGTCGTCGGAAGTGAAGCGCAAAATTCATTGGCAGGGTAATGGAGGGATGGGTTTCCGTGACCTGAAAGATTTTAATCAAGCCTTACTCACAAAACAGTGCTGGCGGCTGTTAATCAATCTGGGTTCTTTAGTCTATGCAGTGATGAAAGCTCGGTATTTCAAACGGTCAGGGATAATGGAGGCTTGCAGGGGTTACGGTCCTAGTTATCTGTGGAGGAGTTGGTGGGGGAGCCAAGGGAATTCTTCGGGATGGAATAGGATGGCAGAATGGTGATGGCAGGAGGGTAAGGGTTTGGAAGGACCCCTGGCTGTTTCGGGATGGGGTTGGAGTGATCCCACAAAGGGGGAGTCAAGATGGGAATGAAGAGCTCACAATGGCAGATTTAATGGGGGATATCCCAGGAAAATGGAATGAGCAAAAAGTGAGAGATGTTCTAGGTGTTGTTGATGTTGAGCTAGCTCTTGCTTTACCTCTTCCTTTCACGAGTGATGAGGACAGAGCTTATTGGCGTCTTACTAGAAATGGCCAATTCACAATTAAATCATGCTACTAGATGTTGAGATCAGGAGATACCGCTGATAATACCTCGGAGGATATTTGGAAGTCGGTATGGCACATGAACGCTCCCCCAAAACTTAAGCACTTGGTATGGAATGCTCTAAAGGGTAATATGGCTGTTAAAATGCGACTCCATCAACGTCATATCATCACTAATAGCAGCTGTAATATTTGCGACTTACCAGAAGAGTCAATAATGCACACTCTATTTTTTTGGAAGGCATCAATGGCGATCTGGAGGAGGAGTAATATTGAGAGCCTAATTGCTGACGCTCCTATGTCTTCCTTTACAGCTTGCTGGCAGTGGTTGAGGAGTAAGGTGACTAAGGAAACCATCACAATAATGGCAACTCTGATGTGGGCGGCGTGGCGCTGTAGGAACGTTATGGTATTTGAGAACTCAGAACCTGATGCTGTAATGGTTGAGATGGGCTACTGCAATTATGTTGCTGAGTATGCAGGCTATACTCGACGTGTTTCTCGACAGGCAGCACATCCCTCATCGCGTTCTGCTACGAAGTGGAAATGCCCTGCAGCAGGGTGTGTGAAGTTTAATGTGGATGCCCACTTAGGTGAAAGTGCCATGGCAGCATTGGGGGTGGTGGTCAGAGATCAAGAAGGCCAATTGATCCTTACTGCTACAAGACGAGTTCCTCTATCATCTCCTGAGTGTATTGAGGCTCAAGCTGTTAGATTTGCTCTTATGCTGGCGAAGAGATTTGACTATAGGAAGATTTGGGTGGAGTCAGATGCGCTAAATGTGATTAACACGATCTCGTGCTCAAATTTTGGTAGATCGCCTATATTCTCTGTTTACAGGGATATCTCTATTTTTAGAGTTTTTTTTTTATATATGTGTCTTTTCTCATGTGAAAAGGGTCAGTAATACTGTGGCCCATCTAGTTGCTAGAGGTGAGGTGGGTAGTGAAGCGGAAATAATTCGTTTTGCCCCGTTCTCACAAAGTATTGTATCTCCTGCCACGATGGATTTATCTTCTTAATATATTGCCCCATAATTTTCCTCAAAAAAAAAAAAAAAAAAAAAAGGGGGGGGGGGGGGATAAACACAAATACTCCGTAGTTGAATACACAATTTCATGCTTACTCATTATATCTTGAATAAAGTCAGCATTTACATTGGATTATTGACCTGCTCAAATGAGAGGTTTATGCCAGTTGTGGCTCTTGAGAAGGTATTCTGCATTCCTACAGACAGTTATATCTTCTCTTCACTCGGCTATCAGGCTAATTCATTGATGATAAATAAACCAAATAAACAACATAACAAAGGTAACAATGAAGGCATAAGTTGTTTTGTTAGGGCTAGGAAAGGCATCCTTAAGATTTGATGCTTCGTCATGACATCACCCACTCTTAACTTCTCGAGATGTTTATGAACATTAACTGGTAACTATCATTTAAAATGCACATTCCTATGAAGTGCCCACCTGAGTTCAAGTTACCTTTCAAGTATCAGAGATCAAGGTAAGATATAAATGAAATCGATTTAAACAAGTACATCACCAGATCACTGAATTCAGCTGACCTAATCTTCCATTTGCTCTCCAATACTAGTCATAAACAAGAAACAAAGCCTAAGAAGCCATGCCGTGCAATAGAAGCTTTGATTTATCTATAGGAATAGGATCCCCCTGCAAATGAGTATCGAGATGAAACAGATGCAGGTGCAAGCTCAGATTGAGCACCAACATGACTTCTCTGGTTGTATGCAGATAGATCACGAGAGGCATAAGATAAATACTGCCCCTCATCAGCAACCCTTCTCGGTAAATGGTAATCAACAGCATTATTTGCAAGCCCCAAGTCAATACGATAAGCCTCAGTCACTGTTGACTGCGAGTATACCCCATAAGTATCAGCCCCTGCCCTTTTTAAACTTGTGAATGGATCAGAAGGGGTCACTGTCGCCTGCGAGTATGCCCCATAAGTATCAGCCCCTGCCCTTGTTAAACTTGTGAATGGATCAGAAGGGGTCACTGTCGCCTGCGCATATGCCCCATAAGTATCAGCTCCTGCCCTTGTTAAACTTGTGAATGGATCATGAGAGTGGTATTGATTCTCTTGGTAACCATCCAACTCATTACTTGGCCTTGTTGTGGCTGATACCAATGGTTTATGCTCACTTTGACCTCGCAAACCATACATTCGATACTCATTTTCACTCAAATAAAATGGCTCATGATGAGCAACTGCCGGTTCTTGCAACGAGGAAAAAGACCCATAAACTGGGGCAGGCTTCGCTAACATCTCCTGTGTACGGGACACATCCCTGTACAGAGGGGCAGGAATCCTATAGAGTTGCTCCTGCACAGATGGTGTATCCTTGTATAGTGTAGCAGAGCTCCTGAAAAGTTGTTCCCTCTCTTGATTAGTCCCATAAGAATCTGGAACAGGAGCATAGGAAACTGTATCTTGCCCCATATTACGTAATTCTGGTCGGAGGCCATATCTGCGGTACTCCATCTCAGAGACAAAAAGTCGATCAGAAGATGATGCAGGCTGCAGAACGACAGGATGATCCTTCAAATGAAGCTGGTGAATAGGACGGAACAGGGATCTAAGTTTCTTCACCTGCAAATGAACGGATGGTGAAGATGTGATCCAAGCTATTGTATGTAATTATGTATTTCCTCTCCTTTTTTAAGTCGCAACGTTTAGAATTTTACATTATTCTCACACACTCCTTTAATCATATTTTGTAATTTATAAGTTGAAAAAAAATGGTCATGTGTGATATGTTAGATTTGTCCCAAAATATACTTTCATAATATCAACTTTTTATTGGCAAGCGTGAAATCCCAAACATTGTGATTTTAAAAAAACGGAAGAAATATCATGCAATCTGCTCCAAACAAAATATTTAGGCCCAATAAGCTCAGTGGTGGTAGAAAACGAATCACATTCGCTTTCAAGACACTTTTCCCTTGAATGCTATGTCACACACGGACTCTTCATTTCACCTCAAGTACCCATGTCGAGCCCTCGACACTCAAACATGGGTATGACACTCGACCACTTCATTTTCAGTTCAAAATCATGGAACTTTTTCACAAAATAGCCGAATCGGACATTTGAACTCGTACCCAGAGGGTACCGAGTCCATGTAACATAGCTTCTATGCTTATACCCTATGTTGAATAAACATGGGTAAGAGTATTGGATACAAGTGCGGATACAAGAGTATGCTATGGAAAATTTTAAAATTAAAGATACGGGGACACAAACCTAATTCAGACATACGTACATCGGTACAAGGATCCGGCAAGTGTGTAACGTTTTTTGAAAGTCTCTATAAATCATTTAATAATATTTTTAAGAAATTCTACATGGTGGCATCGTAGTATTGAAAATTTAACTTGATGGATTTTTTATTATTAAATGGGACTCATATGATTAAGCATTTTTCATTACATGCTCCTATTGCTCTTCTAATTCGCTAGCCCACCATTAATGATTTAATTTACTAACCAACCCTTTAGTAAAGTATTTAATTACTAGCTTACTATCACGGTCACTTTGGTCAACCAAAAGCATCAACCATCCCACATAGGCATGCGAGACCTACGGAAGACCGTGAGACCCCAAGAGCGGGTGGAGCATCGAGGCAAGGAGACCGAACTATTGTGGGATCTAGGGTAATCACACTTGTATGTAAGGCTAGGGATGTCATTGATAATGATCTCATATGCTTAGTGGCTAAGCATCCTAGGCCTAGGCCTTGTCGCAAGAGCACCCACGCGTGCACATAAGGATTTAAGTGGGTAAACTCCATTCTAACCTATGATATTAATTGGGGGCCTAAATGGACTCCCATTAAATCATAGATGACCTTACGATCAAAGTTAGGTCAAGGAATGTCAAAGCACATTGACCGTTGCAAATAATGCTTTTTAGGGGACAAGTGTGACGACCGACCATGAGTGGCTTCATGGCCATGAGCCATGGGCATAGTCATTGACGTAAATAGACCAAAAGGGGTTATAACACGTGAGGAATAATTAAGGTTGACATTGACTAAAACCAACCTACTCGATGGCTCAAAACAAGGCATACTAACCCAATGGTGTGAGGCATACTAACCCAATGGTGTGAGGCTTGCCCGCGCTGCTCAACTGCACGTTTGAGGCTCTCAAAAGGTTATTACCATGTTCACCATAGAAATGGAGATCGTGGGAGGTAGTTACCTTGATTAGTAATTACCTAGCAATTGCCACGTGAAAACAAATGTGGCTTGGTCGACGGTTTTCATGAACACCACATTAGTAGGGATCATGAAGACTTGTGCTTAGGACGATTGCTTTGGAAGAACCATATGGGTGGAGTAGGTTGCCACGACTTTAGTAGTAGGATCATGGGTGGTGGTTACCACGAAGTGGTTACTTGGCATAGTGTGCGGTTTCGGATTGTCTTTTTTATTTTAGGAGGGTTCAGTAGTGGTATGGTGGGCGGTTAAGTTAAACTACCCACGTTGCTCCATTCCTCCTATAATGGTGGGACAATTATGCTGAGATGGCACCCGGTTGAGTATAACTTCCATGGAAAGAGATTGGCTAACAACCAAATAGTTAAACAGAGGTCAACAGTTCCTAAACGATTATGCCACTAACGACATGGCACCTAGAAAGGAGGAGAATTATGTTAGTGGGCAATTACACTAGAGAGTGAGTGGTTATCTTGTTATAAACAGGCTACGCCCACCGGCAGCACCACCATTTTGTGCATGCCTCCAAACTTATAGGATGCATGACGATAGAGGGGTGATGCGGTTGCCAGCTAGTTAATGTGGTAGCACCCCTATGTACATTCAAGGGAGTTAAAGTAGTGAGTGGTTACCATATAGTGGGTGTAGTGGGCGGATATGCATGTTTGAACATGCATTGGCCTTGTGAGGATTCCTTAGTAAGCTCTTTAGTGTTGTACTAGCCACGATTAATAAAAGTGACTTGTATTTTGAATGCTTTTCATCTATTGTTGTGTGTCTAGACGCCATTACAGGCCTCAAGCCTATGAAAAAAAAAGTTAAGTCTTAGATGATTCCTGCGACACCCACCAACATTGGGTGAGACCCGCCGACAAGAACCAAAGTTTGCTTCTTCAAGTGACAAACATTGTACCAGTTGAGCTCAATGAGATGAACCTATGGCCTAAATAATCTACCAATCTTTAGTTAAAAATAATTTTTAATTGCAGGCCATATACTTACTCACTCCTCTTGATTAAGAACAACCTGGAACAAGAAAAACTTCAAACAAACAACTTAAATAATATAGTCACCACACAAAGGGGTAATGGCGGCGAGTGGAGGTCAAATTTGGTTGAGATGGGTGTAAACTAGGGATTAGATATTAATATTATTAGATGTAGCAACACCAAGCGGAACCAAATATGATTTACTTAAACTCATTTCTTAGATTTAAGCCAGCTCCCTAATCTTAATTTTACAAGAAAAAGCTTACCCTAAATACCAAAAGTGTGCCAAACTCTTTGCTCTACAACTAGCCTTGGATGTGGGTCATTTATATATATAATTCGAGTAATATAGATACTTCAATACTTCATGGAGTCAAGGCTAACTATGTGGCCAAGTCCCACTTATAAGAACTTAAGAAGAGCAATAATATTAATCATATATTGATTCTAAGCTGATGTCTTACAAATATGCCACTGTACACGGTGTATTACATCAAGCCTCAATCCATGATCATCATAAAATGATTAATCTTTACCACTTATCACAATATTTTCGTATAATTTGATAAGTTCATTATAATATATTCCTTATGTCCCAAATTAGTTGCACCATTTTCCTTACAAAGGCATCTTTGACAATCTAAAAAAATAATAGATCGACTTTTTTTTTTCTTGCTACCTCTGTTTCTTATTATGTGCAACAAAGGAATATTTTATGTCTCACAAATAATACCCCTTTGTTGCACATAATAAAAAACAGAAGTAGTATTATGACTTACAGTCCTACTATAAATAAAATGAATTTTTGTATACTCTTCAAAATTGGATAATAAATATTTTATGAAAGTTCATTTCATACATAAAAGATAACTTATATACTTTTTTGTAAGATGTACAATATAGCTTTTTTTTTTTTTTTTCCTAATGCACATTACTCTTTAATATAATAGGAATATAACCTTTATTTTCTCAATAAAATAAATGATAATTTTCTTTTCCTAAAAAAAATGATAGATTGTCTTTCTCTAAAAAAATAGGCAAATTCTGCCCATCCATACAGGTAACAATGCTTGCTAAAACACATTCTCTGTTTATTACTTGCAAGCTACAAAATTTCCTAGTTTTGGTAGTATTAGGATTTTAAGTGTTTATTTTCTACTCCCTCCATTTCATAAACGGTTTCACTTGAACTTTTCACAATTAAGGAGAGATGACGGGAAAGTAAGAGAGAGATATGGGTTAGTCGAATGTCGTAAGAAAAGAATAACTAATAATAGTTTAGAGTTGAGTTGTTTAAGAAAAGAACAGCCAAAAAAAAAAAAGGTGGACTGCCAAGAAAAAAGAAGAATTAAAAAAATATAGGTTTAGTGGAGTGTTGTACTCCGTTTGTAAAGAGGGAAAAGCAGAGTGGGGAAATGGATTAAATAAGGTGGGTAGTAGACCCAAAATTGGAATGCAGTAAGGTGCAACCATTAATATGAAACACCCATTTTTGAAAGCTTAACCATTATAATGATACAAGGAAGTCTTTAATAGCTACTCTGTATAAATTTAGGATAAAATCTCGTCTTTCCTAATACTAATCAACAACAATATAACACCACTTCAAGCCAAAGAGAAGAATGTAAAGAGGAGAAAATTCTTACTTGTTCAGAAGTTAGTTCAGTCTTGAATTTGTGGGTTCTCTCATCATAGTTTTCCTTTATTGCATTCTTGAAAACACTTTCAGGGAGAGGTAAACAGTCTTCATTAATTCTGAAGCGCACCTGAAAAAGTGGCATCAATATCAATAATAAATAAAGGTAAATGACTAAGAAAAATAAAACCTTTGTTTTTTGTTTTTTTTTTGAGATGATCCACCTGAGCAGGGAAAGCCCCACCAAAAGCATCTGGCTCAAGTTTCATACCCCCAGCAGAAGATGCTTCATAGATTCCATACAAGAGCCTAAGATCAAAATCGTATAGGAAAAGCTTAAAACCAGGCTTTATACCAAGCACAACCTCCTTTTTGCTGGAAGGCAGGGCCATGACTTTGTAACGAAAACAATCAGGTTTTGTTTTTGCATTACACATGAAGATGAATCCACCAACTTTATTCTCAGAATTTGGAGCCTCAACCCATTTTTGCTCAGACTTACTGTTTCTATTTTTTTTCTTTTTGTCTTCCTTGACAGAACCGTTATCTTTCCTATAATCACTTGAATTCATATTGCTTTCTTTTTCTACACTTGCTGCTGTCTTGTTCTTATCCTTATTATCACTTTTTGGCTCATGCTTAGTGTTTCTATATTTCTTATTTTTGTTCCCCTTGGGAGCACCATTCTCTTTGCCATTATCACTCCTATTCAGATTGCTTTCTTTATCCACTATTGCTGCTGTCCTGTTCTTTTCCTCATTCGTGACTTGACTCTGTACGGCAGCTTCTTTTCTTTTTGCTCTTCGCAGCCTCCATTTCTTTAATCTCTTCAGCTGTTTAGCAGTGAGCTTCAAGGATTCCGGAGTCTTCTTCTCAGTTGATGCTTGAGAGGAGCTATTAGCAAACTCAGCTTTTTTCTGACTCTTCTTTCGCACCATTCTGTTTTCCTTTCCAAATAAACATCCCAAATGGTGAAACTTCATAGTAAAAGTAGGTTAATTTCACTAATTCAGTACATAGATAACCTTGTTCAATTCAAAGAAAAGATATGCTAGGGGAAAAATTAAGGGCAGATTGCACATTGTAGTAATCTAGAGTATAAAAAATATGTATATGAATCACAGTTAACCTCTCCTTTTTGAACACATTCATATGATTCCATACTCAGCGGGGCTTTTTTTGCCACAGATTTGTAGATTCGTGAATAAAGTGGTAGTCATATGACTCACAATCAGTAAAAGTCCCGCCAAATCTTCCCGATTGCTAAGGTGGGCACTAGCTAATATTCTTTCAAAGATTGCCTAACAAAAGACTAAAAAACCATGGACTGACTAGTAAACTAGACCACAAGGATAAGGCAAAGGCTAATAATCTTGACAGATGTGATTACGGGAGAAAGATTTATGACAGTTTCTACATCCACAGACTCGAGTTTGCCACGAAACAAAAAACTCCATACATCAAAATCTTTGCAACATTTCAACCTAGCAATACCTACCCGTCCGCAGTCCGCCCCGTCCCTGAACTAGGGCAGGAGGGAGAAAAGTTCCAGTTTCATAAAAGGTTCTGCAACACATTTGCAACCAAATTTGATTCAATTTTCAAATAAGGCTCATAAATTTAGGGAGAAAATATAATTTCATAGTTCCATCCTATCACTAAAGGGTTTTGCAACACATTTGCAACTAAATTTGATTCAATTTTCATAACAAAGCTCATAAAATTAGGAGAAAAGGTACAATTTCATAGTTCGATTCTATCACTAAAGGGTTCTGCAACACAGTAGCAACAAATTTTATTCAATCATCAAATAAGGCTAATTAATTTGGGGAGAAAAGGTCCCAATTCATAGTTACATCCTAACATTTTAGGCAAATTAGATTCAAATATCAAATTAAGCGAAGAACCCTAAATTAAGTAAACTGAGAAATAAATTAACGATAAACCTTCGATTGTGAAATTGAAATTCGATGATCACAAAAAAAAATAACATCTTAATATCTTACCTAAGAAGCTACTTCAATGGAAGATAGAAGTATCAAAAGTCGGTCTAATGGAGAACGTGGAGTGCGCTACAATGGGAAATTGAAAGAATGAGAAGAGAGCAATGTTTTCCACCAGTACGTTTTTTTGGTTTTTTTTGTGAAACGCTAAACATCGCCCACAAATTACCACATAAAGCCCACAAATAAGTTATGATTTGACCATTATGCCCTTTTGCTAAAATTGAGATAATCTCGGTGTAAAAAATGTGGAGCCGTATTGGTTCGTCGGGGGAGACCGGATGGCAGGCCGGAGATGCGGGGGACGCCGGAGGTACGTCGTCGTCGACGGAAAACGAGGTAAGTGACCGCTAAAATTCACGGTTTACCGTCGTAGTGGCTACGGCGCCTAGGGTGGACGCCCAAACCGTAGCCTGGACGTCCAAGCCAGACGCCAGAACCACCAGAGTGGCGTCCAGGCTAGACGCCCAGACCACCAGAGTGGCGTCCAGCCCAGACGCCCAGACCACCAGACTGGCGTCCTGGGCAGACGCCACTCCACTGGGTGAGGCGGCCCTGCCAGGCGCCAGTCCAGTGGGTGTGGCAGCCCTGGCAGACGCCACCTTTAATAATTAAATTTTATTTTTTCCTTTTTGATTTTGTTGTTGTTTTTTATTTAATTTTTTTGTGAAAATAAAAAATCGAAAATGATTTTTTAAAAAAATTCGAAATGGGTTTTTTGTAAATTAAATTTGAAAATTCGAAATAGGTTTTTTTAAAATTAAATTTGAAAATTCGAAATGGTATATTTTTAAATTTAGTTTGAAAATTCGAATTGGGTTTTTATAAAAATTAAGTTTGATTATATATAATTATGTTTTTTTTGTGTTAATTATGTGGAAATATAGAAATTAAATGTATTATCCGTTAAATGTATTTATTGTAATATATAATTGATGCAGGAATATGGTGGAGACGGAAATGATTACAGTGAGATATTTGGACATGATGGTCCATTCGAAGAAGCTCAACAGGCGATTGATTGGGCAAAACAGGTTGCAATTGCAGCTGGATTTTGCTTGGTAGTAGCAACTCATAAATCTCAACGGGATGGTAGAATGGATCGCATTTTGAGATGTGACCGTTATCGCAAAAGAGAAGAAAGAGATTTTCGTACAGCCACTCGGTTTGACACAAAGCGGAAAGGTTGTGGGTGTGAGTTCAGAGTAAAGGTTCGACAACTACGGAGTCGTGACGGTTGGGAAGTGATAGGTTACTCTAAATGGGGGTATCACAACCATGAGATGATAGTATATGAAGAGGGTCATCGACAACTGAGCGGCTTAAGTCCTGCTGCGAAACTAGTTGTGAAAGAAATGAGTGATGCTCAAGTGAAGCCTGCTAAAATATTAGCATCTGTGTTAGAGAAATTTCCAGAAGACCATCCAAACCGAAGACACATCTACAACGTCAGACAGCAACTCAGGTTTGAACGGTCAGAGGGAAGGAACCCTATACAGCAGCTGCTACACCAGGCACAATCACGTGGTTACCTGTTCTGGTTTGATTCTGATGAAGATACAGCGGAGGTGACTCATCTTTTCCTTGTGCATCCTGATTGTGCTGATATGATCAAGTCTTGGCCATTTGTGATTTTGATCGACTCAACGTACAAGACAAACAAGTACAAGTTCCCTCTGGTTGAGATGGTTGGGATGGCTCCAACGAACCAGAACTTTCTGATTGGTCATGCAATCATCAGGGATGAGACGGCTCCAAGTTATTATTGGGTTTTGGAGAAGCTGAGAAACTACATCGGGCCTAATGTTCATCCAGCAGCCATCGTCAGCGACTGTGAGGGAGGTCTCTTTGCCCCCATAGCAGAGCTGTTTCCCGAATCGAACCACTTATTGTGCACATGGCACATCAACAACTGCGTGAAAGTGAAAGCCTACAACCTTTTCAAGAAGAATTTGGAAATGGCAGAGAGATTGGTGAATGGTAAGTGGCGGAAGATCCTACAGGCTACCACAGAGGAAGCGTATGAGCGAGCATTGGCTAACTTCAGGGATTCGTATCAGTGGTGTCCGGCACTGGTGGACTATGTGATGCATCAATGGGTCCCTCATAGGGAAAAGTTTGTCAAATATTGGACAAACCAGGTACTTCATTTTGGGAACACTACAACATGTAGAGTTGAGAGCGCTCATAGAGCTACCAAGGACTGGATTGATTCATCGACCGCTGCTTTGGATACACTGTTCGCTAGACTGAACAAGTCAATTGAAACTCAGAAGAACGACATCAGGAACTCTCTAGAGGACTCCAGACGACGACATGGTACGATGTATAGCCATTTTATATTTAAGATTCTCCATGGTCGTGTGTCGCACTACTGCTTGGGGTTGATTCTCACTGAGCTGAACAGGGTGAGGGACTTGGCTGACGAAGTGTATACTCGGTGTGGGTGTACTATTTCAGTAACTCATGGATTACCTTGCGCATGCACCATTCATCGCGTTATTACAGAAGAAAGGGCGTCGTTACATGTTTCCCGGGTATGACATTTCAACAACCCCGTAACTGAAGGCCTCTCCTGGTCCTCCCAAATACGGGCAGCTATGTGTCCTAGAAAGCTAGGAATCACACTCCCGTCAACAGGCCCACCGGGCACCTCACTCCTAACAACCCAAGAATCATTACCCGCCCTCGACCGTTTCCTGCTTGCCCCAGAGACAGTGGACGCAGATGATGTGCCAGATCTACTAACAAACCTACCACCCCTACCCTTACGCACCTCCACCATATGCGTCTCGTACATGTCATCAACCCTCTGACTGAATGGACCGTAATCATCATACGGTCCACTGCCATCGTCCACATCCTCATCCTCATCCTCATCCTCATCTGCGCCCTCCTCCTGCTCCTCCTCCTGGTCACCCTCCTCAGCATCATCATCGTCATCGTCATCCTCATCCCGACGGTGGATCCGTTCTCTACGAACTGAGGCCGAAATACCACGGGATCTGACATGTCTATGCCCCGACCTCTCCACTGAATAACTTCTACTAAGAAGCTCTATATTCTTCCCCCCACCATGACGACCCTACACAAAATTTTAAAATATATAAACATACAAAAATTTATACGATAAATAATCATCATCGCAAATCAAATACACTAAAAACAAACAAATAATAGTAAACAAAATATAAACGTAGAAAAAATACAACGAAATTGAAAAAATTTATAAAAATAAACAACAAAATATAAAAACAATTCAAAATTATATTACAAAAAAAAAAAAAAATTTAAAAACAATTTTTTAAAAAAATTAAAAAAAAAAAAAAAAAAAGGGGGGGGGCTCCCTGGCTGGACGCCCAGCCGGCGGTGGTGGCGCCAGATGCAGACGCCGCCACCAGTTGGCTGGCGTTTGGGCTGGACGCCACAGCCACGACTGCGGCGCTTAGACTAAACGCCACAACCGTGGCGGTGGCGTCCAGCCCAGGCGCCAGCCAACTGGTGGCGGCGTCTGCATCTGGCGCCACCACCGCCGGCTGGGCGTCCAGCCAGGGCGCCCCACCGCGTTCACGGCGGTTTTCCCCTTTTTTTTTTTTTTTTTTAAACAAAATATACCTTTCCACCTTGGGACATCCTTCCCTCCGCCGCCGCCGCCACTTCCTTGCCTTGCCGCCTCGACATTGCCGTTATTTTGAATTTTTTTTTTTTTAGAGAGGTTGAAAGAAGATGAGCAATGAGAGTGTGATTGATGAGAGTGTGAGTGATGAGAGTGTGAGTGTTTTTTTTTAAAGGTCAAGGGCAATTTTGGGAAACCAAGTGAATTTTGTGGGCTTTATGTAGTAATTTGTGGGCGATGTTTAACAAAGTTCAAATTTATATTTAACAAATAAATAAATGATTTAAATACTTGCCATTGTGTATTTACTTAATGTTAACTAGATGAAGCTCGTCGATCTCGCAATCAGGCCACGAGACAGCGAAGTAAGAGATTTTTGGATAGATTTTTTAAGATTAAATTGTTGTATAGAGTTTTATTATCGATAGAATTCTAATATTTCATATATACAAAATTAATCATAACATTATGTAAGTATCCTATAACTCAATTCTATTTCCATCAGCAAATTCGTTTTAAAAAGTTCTTTATAATAAGACCCATTTATAATATCTTTTAAGAAAAAGACACATTTATAATACATAGTATATTTAATTTATTTAAAAAAATAATAGAGAATATTGGTAAAAATACTTTCAGTTTAGTAAAAGTAATTTAAGATCAGTAAAAATAATTTCAATTTAATAATAACATAAATATCTATTTACAAACAAATATACAAAAAAATACACTATTATATAAATAAACGATATGATATGGTATGTCTAAATATCCTACATTATAAAAAGAGATTATATGATCGTATTTAATTATAACTTTTAATAAATATCCTATAACTCAATTATATTTCCATTATCAAATTCGTTTTAAAAAGTTCTTTAAAATAAGATCCATTTATAATATATTTAATCACAAACTTTTGTACGTAGTTGGCCAAACCGTGTCACCAATTATTACAAAAGTAACTTCGTTAGTGCTATAGAGGTTACTTGGTTAGTGTTATAGTGATTACTCAATCAGTGTTATAGATAGAGGTTAATTAGTCAGTATTAGAGGTTACTCAGTTAGTATTACAAGGGTTACTCAGTCAGTTTTATAGGGGTTACTTTGTCCGGCTAGATGGTGTGGCTAGCCGCATACAAAATGCATTGTTATTAAATTTATCTAAAAAAAATTAGAAAATCAGTAAAATTAATTTTAGTTTGGTAAAAATACTTTCAGTTTAGTAAAAATAATCTTAGTTCAATAATAATAATTTAAATAATAGCATCGATATCTATTTACTAACAAAACTATAAAAAGTATTATTATATTAATATAAGCCATATGATATTGTATGTCTAAATATCCTACTTTATCAGAACGATTTTTTTTTTTAACGGGATCAGAATGAATTATTTGACCGTATTTAACATTCAAGTAAAAATGTTATCTTAAAATTTTATCAACCATCAGGGCATTGCCCGGGCACAAATCTAGTCACTAATAAATAAAGTCGGTCTCGCAGCCAGGCCACAAGACAA